TCAATCAACCAATCAAACCATCGTTTGCGTCCGTATGTCCATTAGCAACCAATTTTGAAGTTATAGGCCTATATGCCTCGATTCACTAGGACCGTTTGATGGACTGTTTGGTTAATCTCTTAATTGATTGATTGACAATCGATCAATCAATCAATCAACCAATCAACCAATTATGTGTATCCGTATGTGCATTAGCGTGTCAGTGTGTGTGTGCATGTGCGTGGATTGAATGCATGTGAGTCAAAGCTCTCTCTCTCTCTCTCTCTCTCTCTCTCTCTCTCTCTCTCTCTCTAGCTGTGTGTGTGTGTATCACACAAACACAGACACGCACTCCCTGTAGTTTTTTTTTGTTGTTTTTTTGAAACTCAAAGCATTCAAATCGTTTTCAACAGAAGATCGAGGGCGGGGACCTCGCAATTCAACCCGGGGTATCTGACAGTATCAGCCAGTTTAGCTTACAGCCACAGGTCTGCGGAGAGGAACTCTTATCCTCTTTCTAAATTTCAATAGCTTACCTGAGCAACTTCTGTCCAAGTGTGTGCTTGGTTGGTTGATTGATTGCAGGCATGCAACCGACCAACCAATCAACCAACCAATCAAGTGTGTGCGTGTGTGCAAATGCGTGTGTGTTCGTGTCTGCAAATGCGTGGATCAATCAATCAATCAACCAACCAACCAAACAACCAATCATGCGTGTGCATGTGCATGGATTGAATGCATGCGCACACAATGAACGTAGGCAACCTCGGACAAAGGTGCTTCTTGGCCCTTAATAGTTTTGGGAACACTTTTCGATGTGTGGTTGTGTGTGTCTGTGACTTTGTTTGTGTGTGCTTGCGTGTGTCTATGCCAATGTACGCGTGTGTCTGTGTATGTGTGTGTGAGTGTGTCTCAATGCATGCGTCTGTCTGCGTGTATCCACGACTAGCGCAGGCGAAAGTGATTAAATCCGTTTGTTTGTGTGTGCGTTTGTGTCTGTTTGTGTGTGGTTGTTTGTGTCTGTGTGTGTGCCTCTGTCTTTATGTGTTTGTCTGTGTGTCTGTGTTTGTGTGTGTGCGCGGTTGTGTGTGTCTGTCTGTGTGTCTGTGCACCTGTGTGTGTGTGTGTGCATGTGTGTGTGTGTGTTTCTGTGTGCGTGTGTGTGTGTTTGTGTATCTGTGTGTGTGTATCTGTGTGCGTGCGTGTGTGTGTGTACCTGTGTGTGGTTGTGTGCGTCTGTGCCTGTGTGTTTGGTTGTGTGTGTGTGGTTGTGTCTGTCTGTGCGTGTCTGTCTGTGCAYYGGAAAATGGGCCAGGCCCACGACCTGTAGAAGTATAATCAAGAGGCARCGCCCARCCATTCATTCATTCCYGYGTGAGCCACCCGGAAGCGCTRTCACRGCGACTTGTGCAACGAGGTCTGCAGTGGCCCCGGAGGACRCAGTGTGTGACTGTGTAAGTGACAGTGCTCTGTGTTTTTACTRAGTGTTTTCACTGTGCGCTGAATGTCACCGCACACTATGTGTCTGTGCACTGTGCCGCTGTGGAGGTGTGTACGTCACTGTGCACTGTGTCACTATGTACGGGTCACCGTGAATCAGTGTGTGTGTATCGCAGTGTCCGTGTGCGTGTCACAYCRTGACTGTGTRTCCCCKTGCATGTCACATTGTGACTGTGTCACCGGRCATCTGTGTGRGTCACAATATTCGTCTGTGTGTTTTCACSGTGCACCGAGTGTCACCACGCACTAMGTGCCTGTGCCCTGTGTCGCAGTTTGTGTCTGACTGTCCAATCTGTCTGACTGCCTGTTCGTCCGATCCGKCCRTCGATGTSTGTTTGTTTGTTGATGTCTGTCCGTTTAACTKCGTTCTGTTTGTCTGACTGTTGCAAGAAAAAAAATGATCAATAGCGAATCCCAGAGTCAAGCAGCATCATACATATGAAACCAAGTAGTCTTGCTCTTCAACCAAAAGCAGGATYGCAACACGAGTTTTCAGCAATTRAGAAGACACTATGAGCTTCTAATYGACAATGCTTAGCATAGTCYCATCACTACCTATGCAGAATCAATGCYCGTATCCTACCTGTGATCGGTGCCCAGATYCGAAGTGGATAGGTCCTACCTATCCTACTATCACCATGCCACACGTTTGTTCGTACAAAAAACAGGGACGGAGGTAAGTTTATTTCGCAAGTAATAAGGCCAAATATAATAATAATAATAATAATAATAATAATAATAATAATAATAATAATAATAATAGTAATCATATAATAACAATGATAATAATAATAAATGTAAGGGAAATAAGCAACGGGGCAAAGGTGCATGCAGGCCTTAAACACTTTTGAGACCACTTTCAGGTCTTTATGTGTTTGTCTGTGTTTCTGTGTTTGTGTGTGTGGCGGTCTGTGTGTGCGCGGTTGTGTGTGTATGTCTGTGTGTCTGTGCACCTGTGTGTGCGTGTGTGTGTGTGTGTTTGTGTTTGTGTGTATCTGTGCGTGTGTGTGTGTGTTTCTGTGTGCGTGTGTGTGTGTGTGTATCTGTGTGTGTGTGTATCTGCGTGCGTGCGTGTGTGATTGTGTGCGTCTGTGCATGTGTGTTTGGTTGTGTGTGTGTGGTTGTGTCTGTCTATGCGTGTCTAACTGTGTCCTTTTGTGCGTGTGTCTGTTTGTAAACTCGACTGGCACAGACGAAAGTGATTATAGGCCTATAACAGTTATGGGGAATGTTACTTTGTGTGTGTGTGCTTGTGTTAGTCTGTGCTAGTGTACACACTCAAAGAGACGCACACGGAAATAGGCACAAACACACAGAAACACATGCTCATAAAAACACGGACACGGGCTGAGTTTGTGTTCGTGAGTGGTACACAAAAAACATACAAACACGGACACAGACTGTGTCAGTGTGTCCGTATGTGTCTGTGTGCGTGTGTTGTTGAATGTGTCTGTGTGTGTATGTTTCTGTGTCCGTGTCTGTGTGCGTGTCTGTGTGCGTGTGTCGTTGTGTGTGTCTGTGTGTGTCTAACTGTGCCCTTGTGTGCGTGTGTTTGTCTTTTAACTCGACTGGTACAGACGAAAGTGATTAAAGGCCTTTAGTGATTATAGACCTATAACATTGTTTTGTTAGCCCGAGACACCTTTCACGATAGATAGATAGATAGATAGATAGATAGATAGATAGATAGATAGATAGAGAGAGAGAGAGAGAGAGAGAGAGAGAGAGAGAGAGAGAGAGAGAGTGGTCGTCCACCCAAAGGTAAGTGAACAAGAACTCACGAACGAAAACGAGAGGGTTATGAGAAACAGCCTTTGGAATAGAAAATGGAGGGTTTTCAAAATTATCCTTAAGAAAAAGAGAAAAGTCCGACAGAAGAACTAAACCAAATCCGACAAAAGAAGTAAACCAGAGATGTACCGAAAACTGCCACACCTGTGGCGAGTGCCCCTGGGCGGACCTCCCCAGGCCTCGTTCACAGTAATAATGACACTCTCAAAATTGTCAATGGAACGCATGGTTCCCAGTACAACGGAACACATGGTTCCCAGTACAACAAAACACATGGTTCCCAGTAATGATGACACTCTCAAAATTGTCGACCTATTGTGGTCTGACCCACGAACCGAGTGCGCCTGGATCCCACTTCCACGACCTAAAAGGGAAAGAGCTAGCCTACTCTACGCATTAACAATTCTGCAAAAAAATGGAGCCATGTGCCCTCGTTCCTCTAAATGGCTACAATACACAGCGGAACACATGGTTCCCACTTCCACGACCTAAAAAGCAGAAAGCTAGCCTACTCTGCACATTAACAATTCTGCGGAAAACGAAGCCATGTGCCAAACCACAAAGCTCCAACCACGAAGGGACGACGACCAATCCTCGGAGAGGCATCCAGGCAAAGCAGCACACATTCCGACAACGCAGGGGCGGCGATCAATCCCGGGAGGGATGCGGACAAAGCAGCACACACCAGGGGAGTCTCGTGTACGAATACGGCTTGGTTTCTCTTCTTGCACCAATTGCGAGAGGCGCAATCCTTGCTACATGGACCGTTGTCGATCCTGCTTCGGCTCTTTGACCGGAACGCACCAAGCAAATCGTTATTCGACATCAACGAATGGCAACTCGAAGACCACAAACCACAGGAATCCACACAGGAGACTCGTGAACGAATAAAGCTTGGTTTCTCCTCTCGCAACAATTGCGAGAGGCGCAATCGTTGCTACATGGATCATTGTCGATCCTGCTTCGGCTCTTTGATCGGAATGTACCAAGCAAATCATTATTCGTCGCAAAAAAATGGCAGCTCCTGGACCTTTTGTCATTGTCGCGAGCGATCCTTGGTTTGAGGCTACTCATGGTGAAAAGAACAAGCGGAAGGAGAAGAAGCGATCGAGACGGGAGAGTCGGCAGAACACGAAAGCGACTTGAGGCCACACATGCAATATAGGCCTATATGTAAAGTGCGTGTCCACGCATGCAATGTAGGCCTAAATTGCATGTGTGGTTTGAGGCCACACATGCAGCGAAGGCCTATATCGAAAGTGCGTGTCCCCACATGACATATAGGCCTATATCCAAAGGATACGGTGTGGCCTCAGTCACTTCGCAGTCCGTGAGCGAGTATTGGCCTTGAGGCCAATCGCTACCCCACCATGCGGACTCGACACCTCTTCACCGCTTGCCTTTCGTTTGCGCCCCTTCCTGCCGCCAACCGTGGTCCTACTCGATTCCTGGCTTATGGCGAGGCTCAAGACACTCTGTTGAGCATTTGCAGCAGCGGGAACAGGCCCGGACGCAGGTTGCGGCTCAGCCTCTGGTCTAGCTTCAGGAACAACGCTGGGCTCAAGCATGGAAGCAGGCACGGGTCTACCCTCACCGGGAAGAGACACAACGAAAGCGGGCTCAGCACCGGTAACAGTTTGCTCCACACCGGACGGGCCGGCAGCAGCCTCGGCAGTGGGCAAACTCGCACCTGACGGCCYGACAGCGACAGCCTCAGCGCTGTCCGCCACTCCAGCAGTGYCCGTGTTCTCGTYGGGCAYGAGTTCATTTCCGGCAGACTTCGTATCCCCAGACAACTTAGAGGTCGGGCTGCCTTGTGCTACCTTTTCTTTCCGCTTTGGCGTTTCGCGCGCAAGTGTGCCGCCGATGTCTGTCAGAAGCCTCGTGGCGATGCCCTTAGCGCACTTGGTTTTTATCTCCACCACAAGGCAATTTCGATTTGCCTTAACGCACGCTATGGCTCCTGTGTCGGAACCGGAGAAACCATCCAGAACGCAGGCCCCTGCGGGAGAGAATTTGTTCACAAGCCAGGAGTACAAAGTATACGGCTTCTGGTACGGGTAGAGAACACCGCCACCAGGGTGCTGGTACTTCTGCGTCACAGCATTGAAGAGCTTGAAATTGTGACGCATATCAGTGGGATCAAAATTGTAATGCGCCATCTCGCGCTGCCCACTCTCACTGTAGTAGTCGAGCACGCAGAATTCGGTCGCACTCACAAGCCGCGGCCCACCCGGATTCGTCACATTAGGCTTGCACCACGTCAAAAGCTCCTGCCCTGCATTGCAAACCTCCCGGAACGCAGAACGGATGGAAGGAAGCATGTCCACGGAACAGAATCCCGCAACTGTCCACAACGGGGCACTGGAAACGTTCTTCAGATTGTGAAGAACCTCCACAACGTCCGACTTCGAAAACGGCTCATTATCAGATGCGTAGCCCTCGTGCGCGAACCCGCAAGGGAAGTCGAAAATAGCCAGAGATGTCGGCAGCTTTTCTGTCTGCAGCTTCGACAGCAAGCGCATGTCGCCATTGATAATTTTCACTTCCGCCGAGTCGTTGTCTCGTGTCACCTCCGTCCACTCGACGAACAGTTCCACGCGAGGTTTCGTACGGAACGCGTGAATAGCGTTCTTCGCTTGCAGTCTCCTCTCCTTGTTCTTCCATTCAATGGCCCGTTTAATATGGCCATCCAGTGAGGGGATACTTGTCTGACCCCTTCTGATGCCACGAACGAACTTCTCCAAAATCTCTTTCTTTGTGTGGAGAGGATACTACTTCTCGGCATCCTTGAAGTCAGCAGCGCCCACCCCCACTGCGAATGCCTTGCAGACGTAGGCGATTTGCTTGACAAGTTGGAACTTCTTCTCCATCTCCTTAAGCGAGATCTGCTTCGCAATGATCTCAAGGAGGATAGGGACAGCGTCCTCTGGAGCCATACTACCCATGGCTATCCAGTGTTGCGCTGGCATGTCCTCGACGACCATGGGGACCTTGTTACCCTGCAGTTGCACCCGTGGATAAAGAAGCGTCATTTCTTGCTCCTTCGCAGCCGCCCTATCAAGCCTCTTCCCACGCTGGCTTTTCTTCGCGCCCTCGGACTCGCTCATTTCCAGATCCTGGTCCGCTTTTAAGAAGCTCCTCGCAACCGGCTTCAGTTTTTTGCCTTTGACCTCGCCCTTCTGCCACATGCTCATGATCTTACACATGAGCTCCCAAATCTCTTGGGGTTTGAAAGCACACTGCAGCAACGGGTCTGGGGCGTTCAATTTCTTCGCCGCGTTCGGAATCCCTGCTTCTTTCAGGCAAGTGAGCTTCATTTCTTGCATTGACGCACCCCCTGCTCTCAAAGACTTGGCGCCAACACCTGAGCTTCTCGATGAATTTAAGTCCCTGTGGTAACCCGCTGCAAGGTTATGCCTGTGGGCAACCTGCCTCGCCTCATCGATCGTGAAGCCAACGTAAACATAGCACACATTGTACTGGTACTCCTCGTTGTCGAGGTTCATGCGTGCTAACCACTCCCTCGCTTCCCGACGGTGGCCACCACCAAGCACAAAAATATCGTAGTCGTTGGCTCTCAGTTTCGTCAAGCTCACGTCTTCTTTGCGCCCGGCCTGGGCAGGGTCGACGAGGCCAACGAAGGGAAGATGATCTCCAGTTGGCTGCTTCAACATGGAGTCCATGATGGACTTCACATGGTCCTCGTCCGACTCTCTCACCTCCATTGGTCTTTTCCCATTCACCAGGGGTGGCCTCTTCAAACATCTCATCGGCAGGTAAAAGGACTCGTGTGAAAGTTTCTTCTCCTTCAAACTCTTCAACTCCTCCCAAGTTTTTGTCAAATCTTCTGTGCGCTCGTTCGGCACGAAACCTTGGGGTACTTGGAGTTCCTCTTCCCTTCTCTTCCCCTCCCCTTGCCCTTCCGGACGAGGTGGACCCGGTGTGACTGTTTTCTTCCCGCGAATCTTCCAGGGAATCGTCTTTGTGCCCGATCCCCTTTCCAGACTACCGGAAGACCCGACAATGGTTTGAGGAGAAATCACATCTTTGGGATGCTGCGACCTCGCTTTGGAGCCACCCTTCGTGGCCGTCGTCGTCGTCGTCGTCGGAGTTTGTGATTTTTTTGCTTCCTCTGCACACTTTAAAGGAAGAAGTTTCTCGTCCAAATTTGCCCGTAAGAACTCAGAAAGTCCTTCCACGAACGGCTGCGCAACACATTGGAAGCAGAAGAAAAAACAATGGTCGACCAAGTGTGTCAGAGAAACTTATAGGCCTATAACACATACTTAGAGCAACACTGCGTACAACAAGTGCAATAGAACAACGCAAATGTGAAAAAACATTACAGGCCTGCAACCTCAAAGAGTCAAACTTCTGGAAACGAGGAGGACGCAGTCAATGTTATAGGCCTATAACTTCCCAGGAACAAGGAAGACGTAGTGGAAGTTACAGGCCTACAACTGTCGGAAACAACATGGAGCTTATAGGCCTATAACTTTCGAAAAGGCCATGGAGGTCCAGGCTTGTAACTTTCACGGCGTATCCGGTAGTTATAAGCCTATAACTTCCACGGCGTTACCGGTAGTTATAGGCCTATAACTTCCACGGCGTATCCGGTAGTTGTAGGCCTTTAACTCTCGGATACGCCGTGAAAGTTTTAGGCCTATTCCTTCCGGTTACACCTTCAAAGAAACGGAATGAAACTTTCAGCTCTTATTTAGACTTATTCCTGCGAAGAGAGACATGCAGTGAGAATTAGGGGAGATGAGAGCATTTACCATGCAACCAGTCTTGTTTAATGCCAACAACCTCTTGTTTTGGATGGGCAACTTCATGGGCATTAATTTATCCCCCTTCAACAGACATTTAGTGAGCTTGCCCTTGATAACGACCCACAACTCCGCGATGAGATATTTTTCAGTCACGTGCGCTGCAAATAAAATTTCGCCGATTCGTGCATAGACACCGTTGCCGCTGGTTTTGACGTGAAGATAAGCTAATCTTGTTGTGACGTACACGGCCCAAAAGAAGTACTTGAAGTCGCTGCGAACGGGCCTCGACTCGAGGAACTCTCTCTGCCAGCTGCCGTTCTCCTCCATTGGATCTTCTTCCTCGTCCTCTTCCTCTTCTTCTTCTTCTTCGTCTTCTTCTCCTTCCTCTTCTTCATCTTCTTCTTCTTCTTCTCCTTCCTCTTCCTCTTCCTCTCCCTCTCCTTCCTCTCCCTCTCCTTCCTCTCCCTCTCCTTCCTCTTCCTCTCCTTCACCTTCTCCTGCCACGAACTCTCCGTCTTCTAAAACATATTCATCCTCATCTCCTTCTCCCATTTGGGGAAAATCATCCTGCTCCGGTGGCCGCCTTTGCTGCACAACCYCTTCRGAGCACGCCGGCTGCCCCCRAGAAGASACTGTGCCGGTTCTTCTTGCACTCCTCCCCTTGCTTGCACCCCTCGCGCCTCGGGATGTCTTCATCGTCACGAATGGACTGCACGCAAAGAGCCATCCAAAACAAATGTTAACCTCGGTAAGACTGGTTACAGGGCCCTAGCACCCCTGCTTGTTTTGCCTGTGTGTCTCTGTGCCCGTGTGTGTCTGTGTGTGTCTGTGTGTGTCTGTGTTTGTCTCCCTGTGCCCGTGTGTGTCTGTGTGTGTTGCTCTTCGTGTGTGTGTGTCTGTGCCTGTGTGTGCGTCGTTGTTTGTGTCTGTGTGTGTGCCTCTGTGTGTGTGGCAGGCAAGTCAAAGGTGCTTGTCGGCCATAAGCACGTTTGGGACCACTTCCAGGCCTTTGTTTTCATGTTTGTCTGTGTGTCTCTGTTTGTGTGTATGGCTGTCTTTGCGTGTGTGCATGTGTGTCTGTGTGCCTCTGTGTGTGTGGCAGGCGTGTGTTTGCGTGTGTGTGTGTGTGTGTGTCTGTGTGTTCTTGTGTATCTGGTTGTGTGCGTCTTTATGCGTCTTTATGTCTTTATGTCTGTGTGTGTCGGTGTGCGTCTGGGGTAACTGGTTGACAATACAAGCCTGTGTCTTTAGGCGAGAGTGATTTAATGCCTGTGTTGGTTCTGGGGAAACCTTTTGACAATACAAGCCTGTTCTTGTGTTCGTGTGTGTGTCTCTGTGCCTGTGTTCTTTTGTGTGTGTCTAATAGTGATTTTAGGCCTTTGATTTTCTTGGGGAAACTTTCCAGCACTTCAAGCCTGTGTTTTTGTTTGTGTGTCTGTGTGTGTCTCTGTTTGTGTGTGTGTGTGTCTATGTCTGAATGTCTGTGTGCCTGTGTTCTTGTGGGCGTGCCTGTGAGTGTATGTTTGTGCCTTTGTGTGTGTGTGTGTGTGTGTCTGTCTGTGTGTGCCTAGCTGTGTCCTTGTGTGCGTATGTCTGTGTGTGAACTCGACTGCCACAGACGAAAGTGGTTAAAGGCCTACAACAGTTCTGCGAATGTCCTTGCGTTAGTCTGAGCCACTGTGCACAGACAGACACAGGCACGGAAACAGACACAAAAAGACAGACGCACACAGACACAGGCTATGTCTGTGTTCGTGTGCTGTGCACAAAAAGACATACGAACACAGACACGGATTGTGCGTGTCTTTTTCCTTGTGTGTGTCGGTGTGCGTGTATCTGTGTGTGTCTAACTGTGTCCTTGTGTGTGTGTGTCTGTGTGCCTGTGTTTTGTGTATGTGTCTACCAGTGATTGAAGGCCTGTGATTTTCTTGGGAAAACTTATCAGCACTTCAAGCCTGTGTTTTTGTGTGTGTGTCTGTGTGTGTGTCTGTGTGTGTGTCTGTGTGTGTCTCTGTTTGTGTGTGTGTGTGTCTCTGTCTGAACGCCTGCGTATGTCTGTGTGCCTGTGTTCTTGTGTGCGTGCCTGTGAGTGTACCTCGGGCACAAAAATATGTGAAGGTGCTTGTAGGCCTTAAACACTTTTGGGACCGCTATCAGGCCTCTGTCTTTATGTGTGTCTGCGTGTCTGTGTTTGTGTGTGTGGTGTGTGTGTGTCTGTGTTTGTGTGTGTGGCTGTCTGTGTGTGTGTGTGTGTCTGTGTGTCTGTGTTTGTGTGTGTGGCTGTGTGTGCGTGTACCTGTGTTTGCTTGTGTGTGTGCGTGTGTGTCTGTGTGTGTATCTGTGTGTTCTTGTGTCTGATTGTGTGCGCCTGTGCCTGTGTGTGTTTGGTTGTGTTTGTGGTTGTGTTTGTTTGTGTGTGTCTGACTGTGTCCGTCTAACTGTGTCCGTCTAACTGTGTTCGTCTAACTGTGTCCTTGTGTGCGTGTGTCTGTGTGTGAACTCGACCGCCACAGACGAAAGTGGTTATAGGCCTATAACAGTTCTGGGAATAGAGGTAGGTCATCGAGCCTGCATTGTAAACAAAACTGGCTGATACTGCCAGGGTAACTCCGGGTTGGATTGTGAGGTCCCCAGCCTCGTCCCAGGTTTTCTCTGTAATGAAATACTGAATATTCCCCCCCCCCCCAAAAAAAAAAAACGTCCGTGCCTTGTTTTCTGGTTGAGACGGTAGGGTGCCCGACATCCGCTAAGGATTCCCTTTCCTTCTTAGTTGACTGATTGATTGATTGATTGATTGATTGATTGATTGATTGATTGATTGATTGATTGATTCGCTGGACCCTCG